CGTTCTATTTCAATTAATATGCAGCATCAGCAGGCCACCCTCGCATTCAAATATGACAACTTCTAGATCCAGAAAAACAACTTGGTGGCAGCCAAAAAGCTAGCATTGAGGTTTCAGAGTGCTGAGTCCAAAACCAATGGGGGTGACATCATGGAGAGTAGGCGCATTCAACATCCACCCATCTATCCATATTTTTTCCCACTTATCCAATTTAGGGTCCCAGAGCTGGAACTTGCTCCAGCTGTCATTGGGTAGAGGTTGGGTGCACCCTGGGCAGGTTTCACGTTTATTACAAGTTTATTAAGGCTTTCACAGAGAGACACACGCCCACTGATGCTCACGTTCACACTTAAACACATGATTTAGAATCACCAATTAACCCAGGGTGCTGGGAGACAGTCCACACAGGCTCAGGGGTAACATGCAAACTCCACACAGAAAAGCACCAGCCAACAGGTGAATTTGAACCCAGGACGTTCTTGGTGCGAAGAAAATTAGATTTTTGAGGTTTGATCTAAGGCTCAAGACAAAGAAGGGTTTTTTTTAATTTATTTTTTAAAATATTTTCCATTTTCAAATAATGTGACAGGCAGCTATGTCAGGTATGCATTCCCTGTATGCCTTTATATTCTCAGTGGAAACAATGACAGTAAGAAACAAAGTTCTAAATAGGTCTTTATAGCTTTATTACCACTTTGACCTTCAGATGAATCTTTTGATGGAGAGGTCAGAGGTAAAATGTGACAATCTTCACTGTCTATATCTTGAAAATACACACCAATACAAGCCAGATTTTAATGGATGGTTAACATGACCCAACTCAACACCTCTGCAAGGTTTTATCAGAATCCATTCAAAACTTTTGAGCAACCATGTTTGCAGATTGACACACAAACACTAACCTCTTGGGTGGAGGTCTTTAAATCTGATAGGCAGGTAGTGTCGAATGAGTTTTTTTGTGTCTAAAGATGCTTGCTCAGTAAAATGAAAATAGTGACATCCCACAGTCTGCTTACACTCTCACTCAATTTTATTTTTTTAAGCAGTGGATAATTTGTAATGAAACCAGCAGCGAAACAGTTATCACAAACACTGAAACCAGTTCCCTGCAGTTTGTCACAAAGCACGTCTGTGAGTTTCTGCATCTTGATGCATTCTCGATCATCCAGGTAAGTAAATCTCCAAAAGTTGGTTCTGTTCATCTGGACGTAGCATTTTCAGTGGGAGAAACATTTCGTCACTCATCCAAGTGACTTCTTCAGTCTCAGCTAACCTCAGCAACAGGACCACTCTCAGCATCGAACAAGTGTGTTTGCTCTTAACTGTGTCTTCATTCCACCTACTTCACATACAAGGGTCAGTTCTACAGGCAGAAACATGGGTGTGCCATGGGCTCCCCAGTTTCCCCCATCGTGGCCAAATTGTACATGGAAGAAGTGGAAAAAAGAGGGCTTTGCTATCCTACCCTGGAACACCATCAAGCCATTGGTTCAGATATGTGGATGACACCTGGGTGAAAATCAAATCTCAGGACATTCAGGACAATTCACGGATCACATTAACTCGGTGGACCGACATCTCAGATTCATGTAGAGGATATCAAAAATGGCATGTTAGCCTTCTTAGACTGTGAGATTTCCATCAGTAATGGGGGGGCATCTAAAAGCTGATGTGTACCATAAACCTACGCATACGGATCTGTATTTAAAGTTTGACTCTCATCATCCACTGGAACATAAACTGGGTGTCATCAGGATGCTACAACACAGAGCAAACACCATCCCCACTGGCACAGCAGCCAGGGAAGCAGAAGAACGGCACATCAAGAAGGCCCTGAGTAAATGTGGTTATCCCAGCTGGACTTTTGTCAAAGCTGGGAAGGCGCCAAAAGAGAGCTCCAGCTGATCCAGGAGAGAAGAACAACCGCTGCCTAAGCATAAACTTGTAGTCATCCCGTATGTGTCAGGAGTATCGGAGCAGTTGAGACGCATTTAGTGTACGCTGTTAAGTGCCAGGATTTATACATCGAGGAAACCAAACAACCTCTGGCGGAGCAGATGTCACAACACAGAAGAGCTACCTCGTCAGGCCAGGACTCTGCAGTCTATTTACACCTACAGGCCAGTGGATGATTCTTCCATGATGAGGATGTACACATCCTGGACAGGGAGGAACGCTGGTTTGAGCGCGGAGTCAAGGAGGCCATTTACGTGAAAAGGGAAAGACCATCTCTGAATCGAGGGGTACATCTTTCGCCATCTTACAATGCTGTGATTGCAGCCATTCCCCAACTCTCTGTGAATGGTACTCATGGCCATTGATCAGTGGTTGTTGATCAATGGTCATGAGAATTTGCATAATTATGATGAAGGAACTGACCTCACTCTACCTCATATACTAGCTTTATACTATCTAGAGGTTAGTTTACAAGCAGCAAGGATGATTTTCTATCTGCATGTATCTTGATTTGCTGAATTCAGATGTCTAAGTCCATAAAAAAGTGACCATAGCATCACAAAACAAGTTATTATGAGATTGTAAGCAATGATTTTCTCCGTATTGAACTGCTACACCCAATCCTGTTGTGTTCCTCCACCTGCCAAATCCAACTTTAACCTCTGATCACTGTCCTATTTTTCTGCCGCAGAAGGTAAAAGTCGCTCCATAGGCTAATTGAGCTGTTTAAAACCAAACAGCAGACATGCTTTGAAACTCTCTGCTGAACATTTGAGTACATAGAGGCTCTACAGCCTGTTTCTCTCTCCTCACTAGCTTGTGGAAAAGAAAACAAATGATTGAGTTGCATTCATCAAGTGGCTATTAAAATGAATGAATAATGATCTCGCACTGTAGCTGCTGCAAACAAAGTGTTTAGCGTCAGATTACCAGTCTGTCAGTGTTCACAGCTTCTTTTTGCTGCGCCCAAATGCCAAATTAAAACAAGATTGGAGCTTTGAAGACTTTCGTCTACTCGTGCCTTTTGTTTGCTAATGCAGCTGCTTTTCTGTGACTATCAAAATCCCAGATGAAATCCATCACAGCCCTTTTCAGCATACCTTATGCTTGGTTTTATTTGAAGTTTGCCAGTGCTGTCTGAAATGATACAAACTGTGGAAAAAGAGTGTCAGAGCTCGTGTGAGATCGTCCGTGACTAAAGATCAGTGTGTATTTGCTGCAAGCAACCAAACTGTCATCAGGTATGAACGCAGAAGGAAATTCCTACTAGGGTGACATCATTATCTCCATTACTGCTATGGAAACAGACACGCCACTATCCTCCCCTGCTTGTATTCAAGGCAAAACAGTGTGAGAGCGAAGAGTGTAACAATGCTCAGTCTTATCATTTTCACTTTTTGCTGTTGGCTAGCTTAAACATAAACATCAGGGTGAGGTAGTTTTCTTGGCTGGCGGCCATGAGCTGACGTAACGTATACATCTGCTGCAGAGGAGTCATCGAGATAAAGAGCAGCGTTTGACCTGGACACAGCTCTCTTGACATGGACACAAGACTTAAAAATGACTGTGTGAGTGTGTGTGTGTACATGTAATAACATCCACAGGGAGGACTGTGGGACTCCAGGGGGTGATGTCATAGTGATTCATAATTCTCACACACACACACACACACACACACACACACACACACACACACACACACACACACACTGAATAATGACTCTTTTTCTCTGTCTCACACAACACACTTTCCATCCCACATCTAATAACACTTCTTTTGTTTGTGTAACAGGTTCGGTTTTTATTTTAAAAAGTCAGGGGATTTGAAAGGTCATACATTTACATTTACATGACAAAGAATGACACACAGCAACAGCACATATAGAGATACTATAATAGGCAAACCCAGCACGTTCCTCACTTTGGTAAAGATGCTCTCTGTGATGGGTACAATCTAATAACAGAAGATTAGATATTACAGACAGACAGAAAGACTAACTGTTCCCCAGGAGTTACCCAGAAGGAACAGTGTGACATGCTAAGAAGTGTGACATATTACTATTCCCCATGACATTTTCTCCTTTTCTAAAAGCAACTTAATGCTTTTAGTCCCACAGCAAAGATCATTGTGACCCATAATGACAGATAATAGGGCTCACCTGGAGAAAGACTTCTCCTTTAACTAAAGGTGCAACATCAAAATTTTTAAATTATGAATGGACTTCATCTTTAAGCACTTTTCCTCTTTGATCTTCAAAGGCCTGCATGCACCTCATTTATGATTTTCATGATAAAGTTGCTAAACTTTGAAAGGCCTCCTAACCAGGAGGGGACTCCGAGGTTCAGTGCAACGGCAATTTCACATCTAAACCTAATATTTTCAATTACTTGTGCTGCAGAGTTGAACAAATTTGAACTTAAAATGAGGCAGCCATGCAGCCAGCAGCAGGCAGGTGAGGCGAAAAAAGGCTTTCTTGGAAACAGATTTACTTCTTGTATGCAGGTTGGGTCACATAGCTAGTTGGGCAGTTTTTCAGATCTTTACATTTGTATCTGTTTGAAGTTGTGTATATTTATCTGCTCAAATGTTTCCTATAATGAACTTTCATCTCTGTACCATAGTCGGGTCTTTATCTTACAAAATAAAAAGGGGAATTTGTTGTGATTTGGCGATATATATATATAATAAAGCTGAACTGAACCTCTCCCACAGTTTTATGGTGTTTTACATGAGGTGGCACATTGATGTGTAAGAGGTAACTGATAGTTGTGTGAAGTCATATGCATGATCCCTGCAATCCATGTATGATTTTTTTAACATTGCAGGTTTTTATTTAAATCTACATTGCAATGTTCTTCGCAGATACTTAATGCCCAAAGTGACAATGAAAACAGCTGGAAATCTATCACAGGTAGAGGAATAAGTAGGTATAACAAACACAAATAGAAA